TAATTCATATTTATATTTATATACTTGCTTTATATTTACAGGGAATTGTTATTTATTTATTTACCATTACATTTTCTTTAAATCTGTTTTATATTTCTCCCCATTTAGGCTTACATTCTTTTATTTATTCATTATTTTTGCAGTGTTCTTCCCTTTCCCTCCTTCCCCTTGTAACCAACAAAGAAATTGGCCTTCTATATATTACCCAGTGATTTATAATTTTCTTCCCAAGTTTAGAACAGTCAGTTCTATCTTGCAATTGTCTTGACTTCTTCACCATTTAAAATTTCTGTAACTACACCAATTTGTGCATTCTTTTTTAGTTACATTTCATTTCCTATTTACCTTTAATTTCTATTTTTATTTATCCATGATGTTGCACGAGTGTAAAGCTTTCACCAAGTTATAATCAAAAAATTTGTTGAGAAAATGAGCAAGAATCTACACATAAAAATTTGGGTTCTATTGATTAGACTCATCGGTAATTTAGCTGTGGCTGTACCTTTGTGTCATCTCGTGGAACTCTTCCTAAAGCTCATATTCAACAGGCATGTGTAGGAAAGGGATGCCGGTTAAGAAACATTTGAGTTAAGAAGCACCAACTTTTTTTTAACCATTTAAAAATGATTGTCATATGCCAAAAATCAACATATGGCCTATAAACATCATCAGTTAGATGACCTACAAGTAACAGCAAAGTAAACTAATTCAATCACTCACTTTTGAAATGATTGCTCTTCCAAGTATTTTAAATAGCTCTTCCAAGTAGCCTGACATAATCGAATTTTATTTTTTTTTTTCATTGAGAAGGACATTTGAAGGCTTTTCATCTGGTCAGTCCACGGTTCTTCCTTTTCTCTTTGTCCCCCTTTGCATCTATTCTATTGTGTAGTTTCTGTTGCATGATAGGCTCTGTGCGGGTTTCTCATAGAAGAAATGGAAGCCGTGGGAGCCGGATGGATCACCCAGAACGCACGGGAGAAAGGATTCACGGAACCCATCAGACAACCCACTGCCACATCTTCCTCCTTGTTCTCCAGGGCTATCCCGGCTGGACAGTCTTCCCCGATTTCAGTAAACCAGCCAGCACTGAGTGGTGGGTAAAGCAGCTCACAGAATTCCATAACACTCTGGAGTTCGATGGAGTGTGGATTGTAAGTTGTCACTCCGTGGCCACATTTCTTCTGGGCATGGAAACGCCGTATTTTTTTATGAATTTTGTCTCTGATCTGTAACACAGTAGTTTGCTGGACATGGTATGTTAAATGTTCTCTTATTAATTTTGAGCCAGCTGCCATGAACTGGGCCCCTGGAGACCCTGGGCTCTAATCCTGCAACTAGTTTGATTGATTAACTTAAAGTCATTTGCCTTCTCATAGCCTCAGCTTTTCCTCTCAATGACTGTCTCCTTCAATGCTGTCATCATGATGAGCTGTAGCCTTCTCTCATGATTCCACTGATGGTTAATCATTGGAGAAAATTCATTGGCCCTGAGGGTGTGGAGAGAATAGCACAAGGGGATCTGTCTGTGAAATGTGAGACACCATTACTGTTGTTAGCAGTATTTGCCATTCGTTATTTTTCATACATTTTGAAGAAATTGATTTGATTCAGTTACAGTCTCTTGTTGTTCCTCACTGAGCAGAATGAAAGAGAAAACTACAAAACAGAAATATTACCCTATCCTGGGTTCTTTTAAACAACACTGAACCACTAACAGAAACAAGAAAGTCTTTACACTTTATTAGGCAGGAATCTGCCATCGGAGTGGAATTTTGTAATTAAGATTGAAATCAATTTATAAAATATGTCCAATACCATTTAGATCTGGAAGGTACCTTAGATACAATCTAGCACAGTGATTAGACTCTTTTAACGATGAAACAGTGGTCAAGAAACATGTGGGAGACTACTCAGGGTCCCAAATCCAGGTCATGGGAGCCCCCAGACATCCCGGCTTCTACTTCAACAAAACATTCCTCAGCAGCTGGCAATCAATAACATGTTGTGTATCTTGTATCTTTGAAGGAAATGGATGAAGTATCTAACCTTCTCCAAGGTTCTGATGTTGGCTGTGAATCAAACAACTTGAATTATCCTCCTTTCACGCCTCGTAAGTGTTCGCCCACTCGCTAATGACGTTGGCACAGGACGTGTTTGAAACATCAGTTAAGACTCACTGCGGTCAACAGCAATTTCATGTGCAGTCCAAGAGATTCCCAGACATCCAGTCCATTCCTCCACTTGAGTCCCTCCTACATACTTGGTTTCTGGCCCCTTTGTGCTGCCACAAGCCAAGGGCAGTCAAGGGCAAAGATTACTACTCTGAGCCTGTCTCCCCTGGCTGTTTCCTCTCTGGAGTTCCAAATTCTTCTGCCCCGTGCACATCCTCCAAACCCCATACAGCTGGTTCAGTTTTAAACTTCATGACACTTTCTGAACAATCTAAGGTACAAACTACCTTCCATTGAAGTAAATGGGAAATTTTACATTTTTTTCTCCATTAACAAACACTTTAAAAGCACTGAGTTCCTTCTAAGTCCTTCCTGTTTTATAGGATCTGTGTTTCCAGTCAACACCAACTTCTCAGGCCTTAATTTTGAAAGAATGTAGTGGAAGGCGTATAGAATAGGCTAGGCTGTGAAAACCAATCAACCCCATCTCAGCAGGTTGACACAATGAAAGCTTACTTTTTGCTCACATCCTATTCTGGTGAGAGATGGTGGCTCTCACCCATGTCATGACTCGGGGATCTAGTGACTCCCACTGTCTTGTTCTCTCATCAGGGTCCTTTGCATCCAGCTTCATGGGCAAAGGGGAGAGGGAGTACAGGGAATTTTATGGACAGCCTGGAAGTGGGCTCCATCTAATTTGCCCACATTTCTTTGAGTAGAACCCAGTCACATGACTTAAACTTATCTTCTAGGGAAAGTAGGAAATATATTCCTCTTATATTCTGGTCAAAATAGTCTCTGTCAGTTTCTTTTGGTTTGTTCACTTCAATCGAAGCCCTTAGACCAAGGATTAACTGTGTTGTAGTCCCTTTCTGTCACTGAAGGAGTAAAGAACTTTCGGGTTTTTTTATTGACCTCAAACCATTGAACTTCTTGCAAACTTTGCTGTTTGCTTCTCCAATTTACTCTTTGTCCTTCTCTGCACGCTCTGTGCTTCCCCAAGTTTTAAACTCTGCACCAGTTTATCGTGGCTTCCCTTAATCTTTTAATTTTCTTCTTGGTCAAAGATAATTTTCTGCCCAGAAAACTATAGCACCGTACGTGTGCTTTGTGCACTCAATGCACCTGCATTTTATATGTGTCCGTACCCATTGAGTGTTTTACTTATATTTAATCTCAGCTCAACCTGCCACTCCTCTGAGCAGGTTTCTCCATTGGGCCCCTTCACCACCACTCTTTGTGAGCGGAGGGAAAGAAAGCTAATTTTAAAGGTCCCTCTCCTTGAGGGGCTCAGTGTACACCCCAGGTAGGAAGTGGAATTTATGGAAAGGATTTTGCTGGGTGGTAATTAGTGCAGAAGGTACAGTGACCAGGAAGCCGTGACTTGGTGACTGTACTACTGACGTGGGTTGATGGCGTCCGTGTCTCACTGATGAGTTTTCCTCACAGGAGTTCTGGACCGCATGCTTTTCGACAGAACCCTCTGCATGGACACAGAGTTTTACGCGGGCCTTCACTATGACGTCCACAGCTTGTACGGCTACTCCATGGCACAAGCCACAGACTCGTAAGGACTGATGTCTCTCTAATTCCAGATTTGAGATGTGCAAGTCGGCGGCTTTCGCTTCTCTTTCCATAAGCATATTTTCCAAATACTTTTTGTGGTTACAGGGATACAGAAGCATTAGTCTTACAGGGTCCCTAAGGGGTCCTCTCACCCAATCCTTTTGTTTCTGAACAGAATTAACTGTGATGAATGTATGCTAAGGGGCTCCATTATTTCAAAGACAAAAACAAAAACAAAAAAACATAGCCATCGTGTCAATTCCAATTCCTAGTGACCCTATAGGCCAGGGTAGAATTGCCCCACACAATTTCCAATGGTGTCAATCTTTATGGAAGCAGACTGCCACATCTTTCTCCCATGGAACAACTAGGGAATTCCAACCACCGAACTAACTGAAAACCACAGTGTGCGGGTTGAATTGACTCTGACTCACGGCGCCCCCCTGGGTGTCAGAGGGGAACTACACTCCATGGGGGTCTCAAGGCAAGTCGATTGCCAGGCCTGCCTTCTGAGGTGCCTCTGGGTAGGTTTGAACCCCCAAAGCTTTGGTTAGCAGCAGAGCGTGTTGACAGTTTGCACCCCCGGGGACTTCTCAAAAGGTACTGGTAGTGACACTGTGCAAGCCATGTAGAGCAAAGACTGGCAGCCCCCCGGCTTGGCTCTGTTACTGGATGTGATGTGGTCTCCACACTTGGAGTTTAGACTCAGCAAACAAAGATATAGGACACCTAGTGAATTTGCACGAGATGCAGTCACAATGAACATCATTCTTTGTTCATCCGAAATACAAATGTAACTGACTCCTGTGTTTACCTGGCAGCACAACACCACACCCTCCTATCTTCCTTGCTGCCGTCCTCCCCAGGGTCCCTCTCGATGCTTGTCTCTGCCCCACCTCACATACCACACACACATGCCACACACATCACATGCCACACACACACACACGCCACACACTCACACACACATTCACACATCCATTCTCGTACACAACCCTTTTCATGGGCTTTACTATAATTTGGAGCCCCGGGTGGTGTAGGTGCCCTGACTGCTAACCTAAGTGTTGGCGGTTCGAACCCACCTAGCATCACTGCTGATGCCGTCAGCTTCCTTGCAGATGCCAGGCTTGGTTTTGATTTGGGTGGTGCAGATAGTTAACCTGCTCGGCTGCTAACCGAAAAGTTGCAGGTTCGAGCCCACCTAGAGGCACCTCACAAGACAGCCCTGAGTCAGAGTCACCTCACTGGGAGCCGCTGGTTACTGTAATTTATGCTAATGATTTAGGATCTATAGGGTGCTCTGGTGGTGCAGTGCCTAAGGCACTTGACTGCTAACCAGAAAGCCTGCGGTTCAAACCCACCAGCCAGTCCTCCAAAGGAAGTTGGGCAATCTACTTCTGTAGTGATACAGCCCCGGACACCCAAGGAGGGGTTGCCATGAGTCGGGATCGACTCGATGGCAGTGAGTTTGAGTTTTTAAATTCCAGCTTAGGTCTCTCCCTGACCTTCAGGCCCAAACATCCTACACTCCCTGTGATCTCCACCTGGACGTTGCCTGGTGCCCCACACACCATTGTCCTGCTCCATCTGCTCCTGTTTCCTTCCAGCCTCCTCCCCCGGGCTAAGCACTTTGCAGACTCTTACAGTCCCCCCTTTGGTTGGTGGCAATGCCACCCTTATCCTTCCAGTGAGGAGGATGGCTTCATTCTTGAGTTCCCTCCTTTCACATCCTCAGTGCAATAAGCCCCCACCCTTGACTCTACCTTTCAGCATTTCTTGAACCTTCTATTCTGACACTTCCTCATTGAGGTTATTGTCATCTTTCCTATGAAGCTTACACTGGTCCCATGACTCGTCCCTAACTCTAGCCTTATCCCCACTCACCTGGCCCTACTCTTGCTACCCAGGTGAGGTCCAAGGACTTGCAGCACATGGAAACCTATCAGAATGGCAGATCCCTGGGTCTCCATCAGACCTGGAATCAGAGTCCGCATTTTAACAAGCTCCCAGGTGATTCAAATGCATGTTGAAGTCTAAACTCACTCTCTACACTGCTGTTGAGGCAGTGGTGGCTGAGTGGTAGCATTCTCGCCTTCCGTGCGGGAGACCCGGGTTCGATGCCCGGCCAGTGCCCCTCGTGCACAGCCACCAGCTGTGTGTTCGTGGAGACCTGGGTGCTGCTGTGATGCTGAACAGGCTTCAGGGAGCTTCCAGATCAAGAGAGACTAGGAAGGAAGGGCTGGCAATCTACCTCCAGAAATCAGCCAATGGGAAGCCCATGGACCTCAAAGATCTGATTCGTGACCTGTCACAGGGCTGGCATGGGGCCAGCTGGTGCTTCTGTTGTGCAGGGGTCGCCATGAATCAGAGGCAGCTAACAGCAACACACACTGCTGTCAGTGTGATCTTTCTGAACACCAGTCACGAGTCTGTCCATTTCTCTCCACTAGAAAAATTCTTTGTGGTCTTGATATTGTTTATACAATGAAATCCAGTCCCCTTAGCACAATTAATGAGGCCATCTATACTCCAGCCCTGTCTTACTCTCATCTTTGTCACCCCTTCCATCATATGTCTTGCTCCCAAAGTCAAAATACCATTTACTTCCTGTACGACTTTGCATGTGCTGACCACCCTGCATGGCGGCCTTCACTGCCCTGTCTGTTGGCAGACAGCGACTTATCTAGAGACCTCAGTCCAGATGCCAACTCTGGGAGCCTTCCTGATGCATCTTGGGAAAAGGTGCCTTTCCTATGCTTTCTGCCACCTTGTTTGTATCTCGGTACACTTCATGCAACAACATCTTGTGCTGTAATTTCTAACTGTTCTTCCTTTTCTTGTGGGACTGTAAATCCCTTGAGGGCGTCAAAAAAGCCCCAAAACCATCGTTGTTGAGTTGATTCCAGCACGTGGTGACCCGTGTGACAGAGTAGAATGGCCTCATAGGGTTTTCCCGGCTGTAATCATTACAGAAGCAGATGGCCAGAGCTTCCGGCACACCCCTGGATGGGTTTGGACTGCCCACTGTTTGGTCAGCAGTCCAACACTTAACCGTTTGCACCACGCGGGACATCTTGAGGGCAAAGTCACCTGTTTGTCCCCAGCCTCATGAGCCGTGGGTGTGCTGCAGACCCGGTGTTCAGTGAACGGCTGGCCTGAGAGAGAGCAGGGCAGGGCAGGGCAGGGGCGCTGTGGGCCGATCGTGAGGCACAGCCACGCCGGTTGTGTTTCCCAACACTATTTGCCCTCACAACTTTGCCTGATCTGCTCTGCCAGGTGAGAGGGTCCTTCTGTAAGCGGCAAAGGTTTTTTCATTAAGGGAAAACTTCAGTCAGGACTAGTGTCTTTTCTGACGTCCTTTTCTGTCACTCCACCCATCCTGGACATTACAGAGGGTGAATAACGGAATCTCCTCATCTGCGACTGTGACATGAGAGACTTGGGTTGATGTTCCCCATGGTCCCTTCCTGTCCTCATATATTTTGATTCCGGATGTCCCCATCTCAGCATGCGAGGGATGGGGAGTGGAGGAAGGGGGAGGAAATGAAGGAGGAGGAGGAGAGGGAGTGACACACGGCTTCGTTGCTCACGTCCCCACATGACAAGAGTCTTATGAGATCACGCGTGGTTGGTTAGTATGTTCTAATGGCCTTAGTTAAGGTGCAACTCTGACTGGAAGCCCTGGTGGTGCAGTGGGTAAGCACTCAGAGATTCGAACCCACAAGCTGCTCCACGGGAGACAGATGAGGCAGTCTGCTTCTGTAAGATCACAGCCTTGGAAGCCCTGTGAGGCAGTGCCACCCTGTCCTTTGGCGTTGCTGTGAATGGGAATCCACTTGAGGGCAGTGGGTTTCTGCCTGAGAGAGGATAGGTACCTTTCTAACTCCTCTGGGTCAGGCAGAGTGGCCGAGAGCCCAGAGCGCAGAGAACATACGCTGAATTTGGTCTTGAATGTGGGGCAGAGCTGGGTTAGAACAGATAAGGTTTTCATTTCTTGGCCCTGGAGAACTAACTCAAGGCCTGCCGGATCTCTGGCCCAGCATGAACTGCCAAAAGCAGGAGACTGGATGTTCTCAGCAACCAGGACCTGGCCAAAATAGACCTGGGGAAAGAAGAGCAAGACTCAACTCAAGGGTGTCCGTGTAAGACTTTCCTCCACGCTGGAGCCCACGGCCCACCCCTAATCTGTGTTGCCATGGTAAAGGCCAGCCTCCAGATGAACTGTAGTCTCAGATGGCCTCATCCCTGCTTTGATTTCACTGCACACAACCTGAGTGTACTTTTCTCAGGACTGAAAACTGCAGAGACAGCAGGGGGTACTAAACCCTCCACCACCCGCTGCTGTCGAGTCAATTCCAACTCATGGCACCCCAGTACAACAGAGTAGCTCTGCCCCATGGGGTTTCCTAAGCTGTCAGTCTGTATGGAAGCAGACTGCTTCATCTTTCTCCCACTGGGCAGCTGGTGGGTTCAAACTACTGACCTTTTGGTTAGCAGCTGAGCACTTTTAACCACTGTGCGACCAGGGCTCCTGATAAACCCTCCAGCCAGTGGCGATAAAGACAAAATACCTGCTAGCCCAGAGCAGAGAAAAAGCAAAGAAGGGTTGGGGATAATTCCTCTCCTCCACTTCACCCCTATTTATTTAGTTTTTAAAAGACGTAAACCACAGGTTTTTGGGGAGTAAATTTGTTAGAGCGCCGCAGTCCTAGGCTCCTTTTCCTTTCGCATGTTCTTGTGGCTGATTTATGCGGCCCAGCAGCCTTTCCTTTTCCTTCTCTTACTCGTGATGGACTTGCTGGCCTGGGCCACTGTGTCCTCTTCAGGGCTTGGTGTCAAGTGCAGGGATGGGACACCTGCCAGTAATGTCAACCTCAGAGTCTTGTCTTTTGGCTTCTTCTCCTCTTAAGTCATTCCTCCTCAAAGCAAACACATAAAGGCACCTTGTTTTCCTTTGCCGTTTCGAAACCCGATTTTACGCTGCCTAGAGTATAAACTAGTCCCTGCCTGCATATCCCTGCATATACTGGACTTCACCTGTCCGTGTAAACAAACACTGCCATCTCTTTTTCGTCACACACTGTGGAACTGGACGGCGGCACTGCCTTGATCCAAGCATCCATTTCAGGCTTCCCTTGCTTTGACCTGTATGTCATTCTGCTTTCTACTGGAATCCCCAGGGTGTCCTTGGGCGATGGAGGTGGGGAGCGTTGGGTGGTGGACTTGGGGAGCGTTGGTGGCTGTGTTGGAGAGTCCCTGAGGAAGTGCCTGGTGCCTGGGGTCAAGAGTTGTAGAGGAGGTTTCAGGAAGCAGTGCTGCACTTGACTCTGACTGCAGACGGGGAGATGGAGGGCCTGCCTGCAAAGAGCTCACAGCAGCTGTGGCTCAGGTGTCATCTTGCCACCCTTGGGTCGCAGCTCCATTGTATAACTCTAAAGGAAGGTGGAAACCATTGGATTAGAACAGGAAGACAGGGAACAGCTTTGCAGTAAAGTGGCCGGACATGAGTGCTCAGAATAAAAACCGGACAGCAGCCTCCGTCCGAGCACATCACCCAGCCTGCTTTCTCGCCCCCTCCTCAAGTGCTTAGCACTGTGGATCCCATGCTTCAATCCCTTTGGTTTCCTTTCTATATAGTTTTACTAGATATGTTATGCACAACACAGTGCATTTTCTATTTTTATTGTTTATAACTGTGTAAAGCATATCGCATGTCATCCTCTGAGAATTAGTATTTACAATTAATCGAATGTTGCTCAGACTAAGGCTTGCTAACACAGGGAACGGGGTCTGAGCTTCAGCGGAGTCCAAGTACCTGGGGCCCTGTAGGCAAGAAGGGGCACAGAGTTCCAACCTGAGCTGGTGTTGTCATCGACTATGGGACACTGGATAAATGACCTGGAAGGGGGAGATGAGGCCAAGAATGAAAGTCAAACCAAGGGCTGAACCAGATCCAACACGATGGAGAAAACATAATTAGGAAGCCAGGGGCCTAGAGAAGTTTCCTGGAAGATCTGGGAGGTAGAGGTTTGTACTGTCTCATTGGAGTTCCATGACCTTTCCCGAAGGGGGAAGGAAGTGCTAAGCCAGTTGGTCCACCTGGTCAGTGGTCATGAGGCTGGAACATTTCCTCTCAATGCCCAATTTGGTTGGGAAGCCCACTGCTGCCCTATGTGTAGGGTGAGTTCTGAACGTTCACAGTTCATCTCACACTCAACAGGCTGCATTTCTTTTCAGTGCCATGAAGGAGATATTCTCAAAGAACAGGAGCCTCATCTTGTCTCGCTCCACTTTTGCTGGGTCTGGCAAGTTTGCTGGTCATTGGCTGGGGGACAACGCAGCCAGGTGGGAAGATCTCCGGTGGTCCATCCCTAGTATCCTTGAGTTCAACCTGTTTGGAATCCCTCTGGTGAGCCTCACTTCCAACCCAGGAACTTTAACCCTGTGTCCCTTGGCATGATTTCCCCCCACCAGTCTTTGAGGATATCTTATAACTAAGGAGTGTATGCTCCACCATGATTGTATTGGAAAAACGAATTTGTATAGTGGTCTACACTGCCTTCTGAAGTTAGGGTCATTGGGTTGGCATCAATGGATGCTGGGGTTAGAGAGGAGACACCATGAGTGAAATAAATGAACAGCACAGGACAGTCCCACCAGGAAAGGATCAGTGGGTAGGAAAGTGTGAAACCTGGAACTGAATGTGAGGAAAAGCCCTTGATACAAGAACTAATGTCCACACTGTCATTCAGTCTTCCCTCCTCAGTCCATCCTGTATGCACACGTGTTTGTTTCCTTCATTTTGGCTGGGGTCTCTGTAAGCATGGGAGGATGGGCATGGGGTTCTTTTCTCCCCCTTCACATAGGTACACTATCAATGCCTCTCCCTCTACTGACCACCATGATTGTGCATGTGCTCACTCTTCAGGTCGGGGCCAATATCTGTGGTTATGAAGGAAATACCACAGAAGCCCTCTGCAGAAGATGGATGCAGCTTGGGGCATTTTATCCACTATCCAGGAATCACAATGGGCCTGGCTTCAGGGTAAGGGTCTCAAAAGAGTGGTGGGAACTTCCTGAATTGTCTAATCTACTGTTCTCTACTGGTTCTCAAAGAGGAGCTGAGGAAAATCCTATAGGCTGTTCCTAAGTGCAAGAGCAGAATAGGTAAATGGGGAGTGATTGGACTAAAAAGTAGGCTAGGGAGTGGCAGTGTGGGACGGGGGTGTTACACTGAATGGTTTCACGGTTGGAAACTCCCTCCTCCTTGCCCTTCTCCTCTCCATCTTCCTCTTCCTTCTTCATCCCCTTTTCCCTTTGTCTCCTCCTCCTGTTATTACTGTTACCAAGAAGAATATTTTTGAGACATCTCCATATATAGAATGAATTATTGCAACTCCGGAGGGAACAGAGGTTGAGGTTGGAACTTCACCCACCATGGCCCCTTCATCTCCATGGAAACCCCCATGGGGCTTCTTTCTCACCCTGAGACTCTCATAGATTGTCCTCAGAAGACTCACATTTAAACTCTTCCACTTGCTTACAACTCTCATTGGGACAGTTATTTAGTCTTTAATGTGGTTTTCTCACCTGTGAAATGAAGGGATGGGACTGAGAGCCTTTGTTTCTGGAAATGCTTGTCATTGTCGGAGTTGATGGCTACTTTCACCTCAGAAAGTTTCTTACCAGAACAGTACTTTTAAGCCATGATGGAAATGCCCAGTGAAGGCTTGTCTTCCTCCTAGGACCAGGACCCTGCCTCCTTCGGAAGTAACTCCCGGCTGCTGCTCTCCTCTATGCACTATCTCAACATCCGATACATGCTGCTGCCTTACCTGTACACTCTCTTCTACCTTGCACACACCCGCGGAGACACGGTGGCCAGGCCCTTGGTGCACGAGTGAGTTCCCTGACCCCCAGTGACTCCCTTCTGGATTGTAATTTCACCCTATGGCCTTGCTGCTGCATTCTGAGCTGGTGTACTCCATGGCGACATCACCTTAGCTGATGTCCTCCATGGTGACATCACTGTGTTAGACTGGGTTCTCTAGAGAAACAAAAACCAGCAAAGCTTATATATATATAGAGAGAGAGAGAGAGAGAGAGAGAGAGAGAGAGAGAGAGAGAAGTTTATCTTAGGAAAATGGCTCACAAACGTATAGAAGCTGGCAAGTCCAAAGTCCCTGGAGCAAAGGTCAGGCTGGAGGCTTTTCTTAGCTTCTGCAACCTCAGGAGGCTGAAAAGCTCAAGGCTGGCAGGCAGTACAGTGGCTTTTGTCTCTAACGCATGACGAATCCAAGATCTCCAGGCCGACTGGTGGACTGCTCACTCACGGAAAGCTGTAAGCAGCACAACAGAATCCCGATCCACAGAAGAATGTCTGTCTTCCCAGGATGTCCCAGGATATCCTGGAAGCAGGCCACACCCCTCGGGAAACTCCCCTTGACAGATTGGCCACTCAGAACACAGTCATCCGATCTCATTATGGGAACAACCACACAGAACTGGGGTCCAGCCAAGTTGACACACAGCTCCAACCATCACAGTCACCTTAGCTGGTGTCCTCCATGGAGGCATCACCTGGGATGGTGTCCTCTATGGCAGCATCACCAGCCTCCCTGAGCTCTCTTCTCCTTTTCCAGGTTCTACCAGGACCCAGCCACTTGGGATGTGCACGAGCAGTTCCTGTGGGGGCCTGCACTCCTCATCACTCCTGTTTTATATTCAGTACGTCTATAATCTAAACAACAGGGCAGGATGTCACAGATGCCTCATGGCTGTGTAGCTGACTAAGGTGCTGAGTAACTGTGACTGTGTTGAAATGTAAATGTGAGAGAAAGAGCATGAAAAGTCAGAAATTTAAAAAATAGATCACCTTGGTCCCACTGTGCCACTAAATGAATGATTTGCATTTGGAAAAACCTCTTTAAAGCCCATGTCCCCAGGCATATGGCAATGAGACAGGCTTTACATGCCTTGGTGTGTGTGGGTTGACCATCCTTTTGCTTAGAGAGGATATGCTCCTGAGGTTGGGTGGGGAAGGTATAGAGAGGAGCAGGGAGGGGGAGGGTGTTACTCTGTAGTCCACATATCCTGTTTAAGTATGATTCTTGGCAGAGGTGTGTGGAAAGTCTAGGAATTATACTAGGATTATATATATCAGATGATATATATCAGGATTATACTGATCAAACAAGAAATGTGGTGGAGTGCCCTAAAATCGTTCCAGGGCCCTAGGAAATGGTGTTTCAGCTGCACCATCTGATGGCTGGTCCTGCTATCCAACAAGTAGCCTGCTGGGGCTCATCTGATGGGGGGGATCACTGTCTCTTTCCACTTGACAGATTATATGAGTGACATCATGGATGGACGTTATATGTTTCTCCTATAAGCCTCTGGGATATCGAAGCATAAAAGACGATTTCTAGGTGGACCTCTGCTTTCTGAGGTTGTGTTTCCATTTGTGGAATGGACGATCCCAGTCTCTGGGACTGTCCAGACGAGCAATGGCTGTGACACAGGAGGTGTTCTGTGAACTGTAAAGAGCCATGTTCATGTTACTCATCCTTGTTTCCCTAGGATGTGGACCCAGTGAGCGCCTATATCCCAGATGCCATCTGGTATACCTATGAGATGGTAAGTGAGGTGGCCTCCAACACAGGCAGTTCTGATGGAGCAGTCTTGGGGACTTCGGGCAGGAGAATAGTACAAGGTTTATTATGTTTTGTTGATCGGTGCTACTTCTCTGCAAGGAAGGCTTTTCCACTGTACCATGACATAATTTGAATAACTGGACTAGCTTATGGAAATATTCATTATCTTACCCTGGCCACCATGCAGCTGTTGGGACCAGCCCTGACCTTTGACTGAGATCAGCTGGAGAAATAAAGTCCAATTATCAGCCATACATGATTGTGGTGGTGGTGTTAGGTTGCCATAGAGTTGACTCCAACTCGTAGTGGCCACTGCCTGGTCCTGCACAGGGTGCAATATAAGGACATAGGGGGCTGGTATCTTAGCTCTGCTCTTAACTACCCACATGCCTTGAGAAGTCACTTCACTTTGGGGTCACCCATTTTCTCTTCTTTAAAATGAGGTAACTGAATGCATTGCTCTCCAAAGTCCCTCCAAGCCCAAAGAGCCTGTCACAGATGTGTTTTCCTTTCGTTGATTAGGGAGAAGCCCTCCAGTGGAGGAAACAAAGGGTGCAGATGACATTCCCTGGAGAGAGGATAGGACTTCACCTTCGAGGAGGCTACATACTCCCCTTCCAAGAATCAAGCCTCACCACAGAGGCCAGGTGCACCCTTTTCTATTCTGAAGGAGCACCCTAAAGCTCCAGTGGGCAGGCACTGTGGGAGAGTGAACAGGGACTGGGGGTGGGTGAGCAGAAGGGAAATATCTCAGTCATCATCTCCCCTCTGTCACGATTGGTCTGGAATGGGCATTTCAGTTCACCATGAGCAGGGTCAATGGTTGCCTCTGCACCACTGTACTTCCATAGTCTTCTGGCTTTGGATTGGAATTAGTTTATAGGAATTGTCAAAATAATCAGTCACAGGGACTTCTCTAGGGCCAGAGATTGTTGGCATGGAGATTCTGAAGACATGAGAGAATTCAAGTTAAAACAGAGATTATTGTTGTCATTGCTATTGAGTTGATTCCAACTCATAGAGACCCTAGATGACAGGGTAGAACTCCTAGGAATTCCTGGGCTGCAATCTTCATGGGGGCAGATTGTCAGATCTTTTTTCCCATGGAGCCACTGGTGGGTTTGAATCACTAACCTAACAATTAGCAGCTGAGCTAACCATGGTGCCACCAGGGCTCCTTTGAATGGGAGATAAGGCTCATCATATGAGACTCAATGCAGCATGGGGGTCAGGAACTCAGGCTTTGGAGCCAGGCAGTTGGACTTCAAGCCCCAGCTCTGGTCCTAAAAGTGTTCCCTTGGGACACTTGTGTTTCTGCTTCTCCTTGGTAAATGACAGTTGATGATGAGTCCACTTTTTAGGGTTATCATGAGGGTCAACTGAGCTCATGGACATCAGACAGTTTCAAGAGCACCGGGCTCATTACAAGCAACAATAAATACTAATTTTTAGCATCATCACAAAGCCTGTTTTCAGCAGGAACTCTCTTTCCACCACTCTGTTCATTCTCACTACTGCTGCCTACCCATATCCAGCTTCCACTTTGCACACGATGTCAATACGTGCTCTGCTTTTAGAGTAGACCCTGGGTCTTCTGTCCCTGGGGCATAGATGGGGTGTCTCAGTATATTCCCTCTCTTCTTCATCATCTGAAACTGAGACTTGCTGTTTTCTAGCCGCAAGAATTCCCTGGGACTCATCATTGCCTTGGATCACAGGAGAGAAGCGCAGGGGGAGCTTTACTGGGATGACGGCATGTCCAAAGGTTGGCCTCCTTGTGGTGCCCTCATGGCGGTTCTCAATGCAAGTCAGCCATTGCGGGCTTCCCAATATGGCGGCACTACTGCCACACTCCTTGTTTGTTCTGTGGCTCAGAATCATTGGGTTGCTGAGTGTTCTAAGAGTGAGGCTAGGTCAGCCAAACGTGATGCATTAAAACAGACTTCCAATGTAGCTAGTGACAAAACGTGCAAGTTAGTGACCCTACCACAGACATAGCTGCATTTAGTTAATTGTTCTCTTTGCTGGATATCATTATTAATCCCAAGTAATACATTTTATTAATAGCTTCGTAGAAATACTGCATTGGTTGCTGTTGAGGTAGAAGTACGTAATTTGTGTTACATGCTTCTCCACTGTAAGATTTCCATATAAATACCTTACAGAAGCCTATGGTCTGTGATTATATAAAAATCCTGCTGTGCATGCAATGAGCATTTATTAATATCTGTTAGCTCTCTGGAGTCCCTGGGTAGTACAGAGAGTTAATGCACTCAACTGCTAATCTGAAGATTGCAGGTTCAAGTCTGCCCAGCAGTGCTTTGGAAGAAAGTCCTGGTGATCTGTTTCTGAAAGATCAGCCATTGAAAAATGTATGGAGCATGGTTCACTCTGAAGCCCCTGGGGTTGCTGTGACTCAGAGCTAATTCAACGGCAGGTGGTTTGGTCTGTTGTTCTGGCTGTTCACTGTTGAATTATATGCTGGGATTATACAGATAAATAACACATAACCATCTCCTTTGAGGTCCAGCAGGAGGGCTAGGTAAATGTGTTCAATACCAGCAAAGTGGAACCACCAAGTGTCATGAGTTTAGAAGAGGGAGCAGTTACCAGCATTCCAGGGGACCTCCAGGGAGGGGAAGGCATTGGATGGTGATGGTGGGATGTGGAAAAGCAGAACCAGGTGGCCGAGATTTTCCAAGACGACAGCATGACCCAGCCCCTCCTCGTCCCCTGCTAACAGTGCTCCTCTGCCTTTCTCTGTAGACGCTGTGACCAATGAGACCTACCTCCTGTATCATTTCTCTGTGGCCTCCGTAAGTATAGGCTTGAGGAGCGCAGCGTGTGCTCTCTGCTGTGACTGCTTGTTGGGGTTTTGGCTTGTAGATGTTTGCTCACATGGATGGAGAAGACTGAGTTCTGGGCTGTGACAGTCCAGGAAGGAGGCAAGGCAAAGGGAGGCTTGCAGTCTGTGTTAGGTAGACAAACCAGTTTCCCTGGCATTGGCACCAACCCATGGCAATAAAGCCTACTTGAAAGTAATCCGTCTGAGTTCTGGGAAGAATGTGTTTCCTCGGGGAAAATGCATGGCCTTTGAGTTGTAGGTGACGTGTCCCGGCTTCCAAGATAAATATTATCATCATTATTATTAAAATAGAAATTATTTGGGTATGTTTGTGTGCACGTGAATGTCTGTACCTTATGTGCCAACAACTGTGTGAACTTGTGCCTTTGGGTGGTTTTGTGGGTTCCCGTCTGGTCTGCTTGAGAAATTCATGAAGTCAGGACCAGTGTTCTTAGTAACAGGATCAGTAAAGAGTGAGCCAAAGAGGGAATAACTATTACCAAAAGATACAAGACCCTGAGAGACTGGGTTGCCAAGTTCTCCCACCTGGAATGACTGCTGGCAGAGCTTAGGACCTCAGAGAGAAAGGAGGTACCTTAGGAAGGGTGAAGTTCACACTATTTAAGTAGGATGTATCTGGTGTCTAAACTGACTTTTTTTCTCCCCCCCCTCCAGAATCGTCTACAGGCAAAGATTATAAAAAATAATTACATAGACCTTGACAGACTGCACTTTACATATATCAGAATCTTGGGAATGGACAAGGAGCCAGCTGATTTTACAGTCCTAGTTAATAATGTTCCTGGCCCCTGTTCAAACTGCTCAAACATTGCCTATGATGCTTCCACACAGGTGAGTGACTGCCTTGTCCCCCCAGGCATGAATAGTCAGCCTGGCTCCAGGCTCAGCCAGCTGGCTCTCCCGAGCTTGTTTGATGATGGGCATCTGGAGTCCACCGCAGCCCAGGGAGGACTCAGGGAGATGTGGCGTGTTGCCGGTGGGCCCTGAGCAGGGTCTGCACTAGGGCACTGCAAAGGGCAGTGCAGGAGGGGCCTTGGGCAAAGGCACACTCTCTAAGCATATGCAAAACGAGACAGGCTGGTCCCCAATATGACTTCGTGAAAATATTGCTCAGCATGTTGGCCTGACACTGGAGAAAATGTCCATAGTAGTGGACTCTCATTTGCA